CAATGGAGAAAAAGGGTATGGGTAGTATTTTTGGAACTGTGTTGGTACCTTTTATAAATAATGTTCAATTTTAATGAAATTTCATTTGTAGCTTTATAAGATCACAGAAAAATTATAATGAACTTCTTCATAAAGAGACCTTTAGCATTTTTTCAAACATGAAGAAGAAAGGGAAAGGGGAGAATACTTAAATATAATGTTATGTTATCTAGTAAAATATTTTTTTTTCCACATTTCCTAATCAATTGATCTGAGACACGTTGATGGCCTAGGGAATTTTTAATAACATTTCAACTAATTTAGTGTTTTACATCCTTTTGAAATACTTAATCTATGTACATTATGATTCTTTAACAATAACACAGTGAGACAAAATAAACGAAAATTGAAATACCTGGGAAGTGATACTATTTTTCTAAAAGGTGGATCCGAGTAGAATAATAATATGTTTTTGAAATTTGCTAAACACCTCCAAAATCTTGAGTTACGGGTAAAAACCGGGTTTCGTACCTTTAGTCACTTATAAGTCAGTAACTTAGTTAAATCTGAACCAATTTTAAGTTTCTCCACGGATTTAGAAAGTAGAAGCTGAGGCCTATATAATGACATATATAACGTTTAAGTAACCTGGAGAGATATGTGTGAATTTCATCAGCAAACATATTTTTTATTTTAGTTTTGCACCGTTGTCCAAGTTTGGATATTTGCAACTTTGTTTTTAAAAATCCGTTAGCAATGATGGAGTTACTGATCTTTTTCTTAATACAAAATTTTTCCAAAACTGATTTTCCGAGAGATGCTTTATATGGGAGATAGGGCTAAATATGGGCCCATCCTCATACAATATTGATGTAATTAAAAGAATTATGGAATTCAAGTCATTTTCTGAAGGAGGATTTGCATGGGGACTATGATCATACATAAAAATATTTTGAAGGGGGTTTGTATGGGGCTAGGTTCAAATAAGGGCTGTTCATTACGAAAATCTGCAGTGTCATTTATAGGTATATAAAACTGATTTGTGTCAATTTTTTGAGCGATAAAAGTATATTTGACGTAATAATGGCATGAAAAGCCCAAATCGGGAGGTACGGTTGTATGGGGGCTAGGTGAAATAATGGACCGATTTCAACCATTTTCAATAGGCTTCGTCCCTGTAAATTAGACATAATTTTTCTCATGAAATTCTTAACATTTTATAATGAGTAAAATAAAATTGGTTACTTTTAGAACAATTTATGAAAAAAATTTAAAATAAAAAGTCGATGCGGACTAGACAGACCGGATCTTATATGGGGAGAAAAAAATTTCGGAATCTTGTTCGTCTTAACCCCTCAAAATTATTCCCCTTCCCAGATAATGAGATCTGGTATCGTCGCTCAAAGATTGAAAAAACCAGCGTTTAAATTTACTAATATATTAGTAACCACTTGCAGTAAAATACACATTTCTATCAATATAATACAAAAAATATTTTAACATCTTCACATTTCAATATTATTGCTACTAAAAATTGCAACATTACTTTGAAATTTATAGCAGCACACATTCACAGTATTCGTTTCTGCCTGTTATACAACAATGGAAATATATTTTTTGCCATAGCAACGTTGTGCTGCTAATTTTTTCCTAGCTGCAGTATATTGTTTTGGTTCTGATACTACCAGTAGCAAAATGAGCGACTGCCAGTTGCAATTTATTTATTTTTTAAACAATATTGATACTACTTTTTGAAGGTATTTTTATGCAATGTATACAGTGTAAAAAATTGTTAGTAAACAGTTTTAATCACAGCAAGACACTTAGTGGAGGTACAAATATATGCGAACGAAACAATCAGAACTATCAAGCAGTGGCTGCTTACAATGAACCTACACTTGGCCGAACACAAGACAGAGTCAGTGCTTATAAGTGGTAGGAGAAAAGTAGAATATCTTACGATCAAAGTAGGATCTACAGAGATAACATCAACAGAAGCTATAAAGTATCTAGTAATAATGGTGGATAGAAGACTCAGTTTCACAAAGCACCGCGAATACGCATGCAGGAAAGCTACTGGCGTAGCAAACGCACTGGCAAGAATGATGCCCAATAAAGGTGGACCTCGTCAAAGTCGCCGCCTATTAATCTCGAGAGTATCTAACGCAGTCCTACTTTACGGGGCACCAATTTGGGAACAGGCTCTTAGTAGAGCATCAATAAAAGCAATGTCTTCCATACATAGAAGGAGTTGCCTTAGAGTCTGTAGCGCCTTAGAACTGTCACCATGGAAGCAGCGTGCGTAGTAGCAGGTATTTACCCCTTCGATCTTATCGCACATGAGTTAGCGGCAAAACATAAGGAAATCAGAACAAATCCAGATCTCCAAGAAAACAAATACATCATGTTGAAAGGGAGAAAACATTGGTGGAATGGCAGAGAAGATGGGAGAATACTCCAAAATTGGCTAAAACGTCAACATGGAGAGATGAACTATGACCCAATTCCTCACTGGACACGGTGGTTATAGAAGTTACTTATTCCACTTCGGCCATGATAATTCACCAAGGTGTCCTCAATGTACAGAATACGATGAAACTGCAGAACATGTTACATTTAAATGTACTAGATTCTCGGACCGTCTCATGAGATTACAATCCTATTTAGGAGTAAATATTAGTCCAAATAACATTATCCAGATTATGCTAAAATCGAAGGAAAATTGGGACGCAATAAATGCATACATATGCTATAAATCGAGCTCTTCGTGATGAGGAAAAAATCCGTAAATCGTTGTAGGAGTAGCCAATCGAGCAAAGATGATAACAAATACAGCATAAGTTGAAATCCCGCCGCGAAGTTATACCTACATGGGCAGTCCCGCGGACGGGTGTTGGTGTGGGGGTGTGGTTTAGTACGTAGGCGCAATATGTGAATCGTGCATGTTTTTCAGTACGGTCTGAATACATATAATGAATATTCCACACCTCCAGCGTATCAAAAAAAAAAAAAAAAACATACATACACACATACATACATACATACATACATACATACATACATACATACATACATACATACATACATACATACATACATACATACATACATACATACATACATACATACATACATACATACATACATACATACATACATACATACATACATACATACATACATACATACATACATACATACATACATACATACATACATACATACATACATACATACATACATACATACATACATACATACATACATACATACATACATACATACATACATACATACATACATACATACATACATGCATACATAAACGTATAAAATTTACTTGTAACCATTTGTACCGTAATGAAACTCAACATAACTAACTGTTATTTAAAAATATATCCTTTCCCAAATGAGGATCGGCCCATGTTTGACCTATACTCCTATATAAAGCCTAATTTAGAAAATTAGTTTTTTATCAATAAATTGCTTAAATACTTTGGAATTAAGGTAAAATTCAACATAAAAGTTTATTTATGAAAAATAAATTTTTTTTTTACATTAGAGTTATGTATGCTGGATTCCATCGTGATACCAGTGTTTATTAGGGAATTATTGACCTTCAAGTCATTTTCTGAAGTGAACTTTGTATGGGGGCTAGGCTCAAATAAAGTCCGATAATTATGAAAATTGGTAGTATTATTAAGACGTATATAGAACTAAGTTTTGCCGATTTTTGTAGAGATACTACAATATTTAACATAATTATGAACTCAAAAGCCTTTTCCGGGGGGTAGGGTTGTATGGGGGCTAGGTGAAATAATGGACCGATTTCAACCATTTTCAAAAGGCTTCGTCGAAAAACACGTATGGTCCAAATTTCATCAAAATATCTTGAAATTTGCGACCTGTACCTTGCGCACCAGGTTTACATGGACAGCCAGCCGGACAGACGGACGGACGGACATGGCTTAATCGACTCAAAAAGTAATTCTAGGCCGATTGGTTACTTTAAGGGTATTGAACCAATATTATTTTGCGTTACAAACATCAGCACAATCCCAATATACCCTCCCCACTAAAGTGGTTAAAGGCTATAAAAATGCAAAAAAAGGTTTAAATTAGGAGGAAAAAATTAAATGTTTGGGTTGTAGTTATTTTTTATATCAAAAATTTGTCTTCCTCACAACTTGTAACAGATTTTGAAAATTAAAAGTTAATTTCCTTTTTTTTGCTATATTATTTTATATAGTACAAGTATTCTTCTAAATTACAGTCTATAGCATTGGTAGTGTTACAGTTTGTAACATTAGTAAAAATATAAGTATTTTAATTAAAATTTGTAAAAATATTATGTTACTTTATAAGAAGTCATGTAACTTTACAGAAAATCATTATCATGACTTATTAATGTCTTTAGGCCGTTTGTACACAATACATGATTGTTATCGATCTATGTTTACAGTTATCGATCTACATGATGACAGATTATCATAACTGTTATGTATTGTTATTACATTAACATCTCTATCACTTTTAAGTATATATTGAAGTTAATCTCTCTTTATGTTAAACACATAGCTTTTAATATCACTTGAATTTCTATCCCTTTAACATTAATAAAAGTTAGTTGTTAATCAGACTCCGTGCGTTTCAATACACTACATTGGCGACGAGATTAAAAAAAAAGGAATTATCGTAAATACGATTAAATGTGTATATACACATAAGTAATAAATAATAAGTGTAACTCGTTGTTTTACAATTGTTACAAAAAAATTAAATACATATTTTAAAAAGAAAATTAAAAACAATTTGTTGAACTTTATTTACTTAAATGTATGTAAATATATACATATAAAAAAGGAAATAATAAAAAAAACAACTTAAAAAAAAAATCACCATAAGAACTTCATATACATAAAAAAAGGAACAACTGAATACAGAACATAAATTGTCATTCTAAAGACAAAACTTAATTTGTATAAAAATTAACATAAAAAAAAAATAAAAAAAAAATCAACATGCCAGATAATGTTCCAGGTGGTACCGTTACTATTTACCATCCAAATAATATACCTCAATTCTCCCCCCGCAATGAATCTTGGTTGTTATGGAAAGAAAAACTTGATATTCATTTCACTGAAATAAATTGCACTGAAGAAAGTACGAAAAAAGCCACTCTCTTGAAAGCTATTGGACCAATTGCGTATGAAACATTGCATAATTTATGTAGCCCAGACACTCCAGTTTCAAAAACGTTTAAAGAACTTTGCAGCTTACTAAAAATGCACTACACTCCGCCAACTATAATTTTTTGTGAGCGCAAAAGCTTTCACACTGCTATACAAGGTGAAGACGAAACAGTAGCAGAATGGCATGCTAGAGTAAAAAAATTAGCACTCGCATGTAAATTTGGTGTTCATTTAGATGCCTTTGTTTTGGATCGCTTTATTATGGGAATAAATAATAAAATATTTGAACGACTGTGTGAAGAGGATGAGAAAATTACAATTGAAGATGCTCTCAGAAAAGCTTTAATTATGGAGATGAAGTTAGTATCGAAAGAAAATAATGACATGCAAGTTGGAAATATAAAGTTTGGCAAACATAAAAACAAACTCAAATACAACAACAACAATTATTCTAACAAGAACAAAAGCACCAACCAAAACAGTCACGAATATCAAGCAAAGAAGAGACAACAATCAACAGCTGATCAATCAAAAACATTAAAGGCCTGTTCTCATTGTGGTTGGAGGAACCACAAATCAAATGAATGTAGATTTCAGCATAGTAAATGTAATTTTTGTGGAAAAATTGGGCATTTGGCTTCTGTTTGCAGAAAAAAAGAAAAAGTTGTAAATTATGTATCAGAATCAGATGTAGATAGTGAAGATTTTAATAAAAATAATGTATATGATTTTTCTATTTATAGCATAAATAATTGTGGCAATTCAACTGAGCTCTACAAAGTTTCAATTAAAATCGATGGAATTCCAATTGAAGTTGTTTGTGATTCAGGTGCTCCATGCAGTTTGGTATCGAAATCATTTGTTGACAGTCTAAATAAAAAAGTAAGTCTCAAGTCCTGTACTGATCCATATGTCGATTTTAATGGAAATAAAATTAAGGTCCTAGGACAATATGATGAAATAATTGAATTAAAAGGTACAAAGAAAACAGTGAAGCTGGTAGTAACTGATAGTAATAATAATCCTTTGTTTGGTAGAAACTTTCTACGCACATTTAATTTTGAACTTATTCAAGTAAACTCAGTTAGTTCTGATCAATATACCATTATAACTGAGCAAATTAAAAATGAATTTCATGAAATTTTTAGTAGTGGTCTTGGAAGTTATAAGTTTGGGAAAATATCTTTGGCCATAAACAGTGATGCAACACCTATTTTTTGTAAACCACGTCCTGTGCCTTTGGCCTGGAAAGGAAAAATTGAAAATAATTTAAGGGAACTAATAGCAAATGACGTATTAGAACAAGTAGACCATTCAGAATGGGGTACACCACTAGTACCAATTTTAAAACCGAACGGTGATATTCGTATCTGTGGCGACTATAAGGTCAGAATTAATAAATATTTATCTGATTTCAATTATCCACTTCCTTTAATTGACGAAATTTTTGCTTCCCTTCAAGGAGGTCAATTATTTTCAAAATTGGACTTATCAAACGCTTATAACCAACTTATTCTTGATGACAAATCACAGCTTTTATGTACCTGGTCTACGCATATTGGAACTTTGAAAATGAAACGATTACCTTTTGGTGTCAAACCTGCCGCTGCAATATTCCAAAAAACAATGGAGAACTTATTGCAAGGAATACCATTTGTGGTTGTATATCAAGATGATATTACAGTATCGGGTAAAGATATGAATGAACATATTCGAAATTTGAAGTCAGTGTTAAATAAATTATTACAAGCTGGACTTAAGCTTAATTTATCTAAATGTAAATTTTTCAAAGAAGAAATTTCATACTTAGGTTTCACAATTGACAGGTTTGGTCTTAGGAAAAATAAAGAAAGAATTAATTCGGTATTAAATGCCCCCATTCCTAACAACGTTTCAGAATTACGTGCATTTATAGGTCTTGTGAATTATTATGCAAAGTTTGTTAATAATTTTGCAAAAATTATGACTCCTTTGTATAAGTTATTACAGAAAAATGTTAGATTTGAGTGGTCCGAAAGTTGTCAAATAGCCTATGATACAATAAGAAAAGAAATTACTTCTGAAAAAGTTCTGGTGCACTTTAATCCAAAGTTACCAATTTTCCTCACAACTGACGCATCAGACTATGCCATAGCTGGTGTACTTTCGCACAAATTTTCTGAAAATGAATTCAAACCAGTGGCTTTTATTTCAAGAGCTTTATCCAAAACTGAACAAAAGTACAGTACACATGAAAAAGAAGCACTTGCAATTATTTTTAGCGTCACTAAATTAAAACAGTATTTGATTGGAAATGTTTTTACATTAAGAACTGACCATAAGCCATTAATTTCTATATTTGGCCAAAACAAAGGCTTGCCTGTAATGGCAGCAGCACGTGTTCAGAGATGGGCTTTTATTCTCTCTGGATTTAATTATAAAATTGAGTATGTTAAAGGTCAATTAAATGAAGCTGATAATTTATCACGAATACCTCAATTTAAAACAAATGTTGTCAATGAGAATGACATTAATGACAGTACTTTTATAAATTATATACAGAAGGATAATATGTTGAGCCTTGACTTTAAAGATATAGCTAGGGAAACTAGACGTGACCCTATTCTTTCTAAAGTGTGTGAATTTGTTCGAATGGGTAAAATTAGAGAACTAACAGGTGATGAATTTAAATCATTTATCAACAAGGATATTGAGTTAACTGTTGACCATGACTGTTTATTATGGGGATATAGAGTTATTATACCAGAGAAATTAAGAAAATCAATTCTTCAACTAATACATGAATCCCACTTTGGTATAGTTAAAACTAAGGCACTTGCCAGGTCATTTGTTTGGTGGCCTAATATTGACAATGAGATTGAGAATTTAGTCAAATCATGTATTTCTTGTCAAAAACTATTGGCTAGTCCAGAGAAAAGTATACTCATACCTTGGACTCCTACAAGCTCTGTTTGGCAAAGAATCCACATAGACTTTGCAGGCCCAATAAGGAATTATCACTTTCTTATAGTTATTGACTCATATTCAAAATGGGTAGAAGTTTTCAAGACAAAAGATATCACTTCCAATTTTGTAATTACAAAATTAAGAGAAATTTTTTGTCGTTTTGGGATTCCACACAATATTGTCAGCGACAACGGCAGACAATTCGTGTCCGAAGATTTTAAAGATTTCATTTCAAGAAATAAAATTAAACACACATTAACAGCCCCTGGACATCCAGCCACAAACGGCCAGGCTGAAAATTTCGTGAAAACTCTTAAGAAATCTATTTATGCAAATTTAAATTCTGAGAAAAAAGAAAATATTGATGTAATTTTAAATCGTTTCTTAATGGATTATCGTAATACAAAACATAGCTCAACTGGTGAGAGCCCGGCGAAAATTTTTATTGGAAGATCGATTAGAACACGACTTGATCTAATAAAACCTCCACTTTTTAAAAACAAAATGTTGGAAAATCAAATGAAAAGTATATCAAATCATAAAGGTAATAGATCAGTTACTTTTGAAAAAGGTCAAAATGTTTTCATTAGAGACTACACAAATGTAAATAAAGAATCATGGGCCCCAGCTATCATTAAGGATAGAACAGGTTCACTATCATATCAGTGTATTCTTTCAACTGGCAGAGTAATAAAAAGACATACTGATCAAATTAGGGCAGGAGTAAAGGATGTCAGTAATGATTTTATCCCGCCTGAATTACCATCATCTTCAAATGGAAGTACTTCGACGGAAAAGGTTGAACGTTCACATAATGATAACAATTCTTCAGAAGTAAATAACAATGAACATGAACCAAATTCAGAAATTGTAAATGAGTCTATAAACACAAATGTTAATGAAGAATTGTCAAATAAAAATCAAACTGAGAAGAATGAAAACAAATGTGGAAGAGTATTAAGACCCAGAACAAATAAAAAAATTTAATACTTAGTACATGTATCTTTATTCCTCTTATTTTGAAAATTTCTAATTTTAAATTTAATTGTTTATTTAAATAAAAAAAAAATGAATTAAATGCTTTATTAATTATTGTTATTAATTAGTTATACAGACATGCATATATTGTTAAATAATATTTAATGTAAAAATAATCAATAATTATTAAATTTATATTTAAAAGATTTAAGTGGAGGCGTGTTATGTATTGTTATTACATTAACATCTCTATCACTTTTAAGTATATATTGAAGTTAATCTCTCTTTATGTTAAACACATAGCTTTTAATATCACTTGAATTTCTATCCCTTTAACATTAATAAAAGTTAGTTGTTAATCAGACTCCGTGCGTTTCAATACACTACAATAACTAATGACATGTAATGTTGACGAGACAAACGAGAATCTTTCTTTTTCCTTTTTGATTCCATAGCTCTCAGAGCACAAATTTTAATACGGAAAGCTATAAGTTTAAACACAAAAAGTAATAAAGTAATTATATATAAATTTTTTTATTATACATCTTTCGCATTTAAATAAATCGATTTTTTTTGTTGAATGAAAAGAAAAACCCAAAATTTTGGTAAGATTTAATGTAATGAAATAAGTAATTTAAGTGGAAAATTAAAGAAAAATTATGAAATTCTACAGGGTTTTTATATAAGATTATTTAATTAATCTTAATCAGCGTGGTTATTTAAGATAAGTTTAATAACTCTTAAGAAATATGAGTCAATTATATAATGATGTAAAGATTGTGGAGTTAAACATCAGCATTTTGGCACTTAAATGAACTTCACTTGCATACATAGCCTGAAAAATTTTTCATCTAAAATATTAATACTAATTCTTATGAAGTGAAATAAGTAATTCATCAGTACCAAAATTTAAAAAAAAAAGAAAACTATACATTTCATATAATTGAAAGAAATAGTGATGATTAAATATTATAGTACAGGAATATACACCAGACCAAAAGTGAACGTAAAAGAGTAGAGGTTATATGACATGTTACACTGTACTTCAAGCATTGCCGAAGTATTGCATCTCAATTTGTGACGTCAACAACATCAATGGGAATCTTCCATAGAGATAATGGTAAAACAGTGCTAATTAACATCACATAAATATTATAACTTGAACTGTTATTAAAAAAAAAATGGTAACGTCATCATTGATCTCAGCAACTTACATATCCATGTTATGTTACAAGGAATAAGTATTATGTTAATTAACCATAACTTTAAGCTCTAATTAACATTTTATTGTTATACATTTTATAATTGTTATACTCTCTTCTTTTACCTTTTTATTCTCTTTTCAAAAATATTTTTTTAAACCTATATAAATTGCATGTAGTTACACTTTGTTAATTTATAATAGGAGTAACAAATATTAAATATTAAACTATATATTGTTAAAACAATTATATGCAAATAATTAAGTTATAATCAATTAATATTATAAATTACAACTAATGATTATATCTTACTAATTATGAAAAAAAATATTTATCTAAATACATTTAATCCTAGAATGTACAGAATTTAAAAAAAGTACTAGTTTTATAAAATATTTTTAAACCTTAATAATACTATTGGCATGTTATTATTATTGTATATTATAATAATTATCATTGCACAACAACTAATAGATTTTATGATATTACAGAACTAACGGATGCATTTGAGCTCAGATCATCACCTAAAGTGTAAGATGGGAATTTAAAAAAAAAAACAATCTCGTAAAATGTAAGTTATAATATGCAATAATAAAATTATATACATGCTGTCGATTTAATATATGATCAAAAGTTAGTATTTAAAATATGTCATTTATATTAAATTTTTATTTAATTTTTTTATGAATTTGATAAACTATTATCATAACAGCTTACCTTTATACTTAAATATATTTATTAGTATTGTCAAAAAAATTATAAGTTTCGATTTTAATAAAATATCTTATTGAATTGACATGAATCACACTGAGTAGAAGAAATTTAAGGGAATGTTGACTAGAATAATTTAAAACTCTATCTAGCAAAATTTTTAGGGAAATACTTAGCAGTTGCTTAATAGATCACTGTGGTATTTTGGGAAATATAGGTGGGAAAATCCTTATAGTGATCATGGTCATATTAACATCTGTGACTTATATTGCATTAACTACAACACAGTGCAACATGGTGATTAACATTCACAATAGCTTAGAATTTTAGTAATTTGTTTAATTGTTTAACTTCATAAGCCTTGGAATGATAATATTTATTTTTGTTTTATGTCAATGTATGGTGATTAGGAATGATCAAGAACCTCCCCATAACCGACGAGCAAAGCCTTCATGCATTCCAAGCTCGATCAATTCCTCACCACTAAACTTGATTTTATAATTGGCAACAGTGCCAAAGAAAACGTTACATAAAATAGAATGGCGCCCAACGAGATTGGCAAAACGTCAGTGTCGTAAAATTTGACTGTTCCAGTCCATAATAGTAAATGAGTCTTAGACTAAATTGTTATTTTAATTTAGATCTCACTGCAATTTACTTTCCTGCATTGTTTTTACTTAATCTTGAATGCTAGAGAGTACTGATTATGTATTCCATCTGTATTGTTTTAAGTTTTAAATTTCAAATCAAGTATCGATATTTATGGTATGTCATCCGAGTAGTGGTAATAATCTGTTTTGGATATGCGACCATGAGTGAGATACAATTTTTGTTATACCTTAGATTCAATAGTAATGAATTCAGTCTGTGTAAGTCATGAACAAGTTCTGATAAAAGTGAATTGTTTATTTGCGACATAATACTGATATTTAAATTAGGAGGGGATCGCCTTGTTGTAGATGGTGAAAGCTAGATTTTGTTATAGTTAATTAGTCAACATTCCCAAATTTTGAAATAATAAGTAAACCATATATAATTTATATAATTTTTAAATAGTGTTTAGTAGGATATGTCACATAGGAGAAGAAAAGTTAGTAATTTTGTAAGTAGTGAAGATCCATCTAATAGTGACTCTCAAATCAATTATACATTTGATGAGGAAGTAGAAAATCCTTTTGCACCTAGACCAAGAATAGAAAAGAGCCCAATTATAACCCGTTCAAGAGCAAAAGCTGCTACTTTAGAACAGACAATGGAGAGTAATTCAAATATGGACATGCCTTCTGGCACACAACAAGTAAATCAAAATTCTTCGAATGTATCAGAGGTAGGAAATTTAGAAAGTTTGACGCAGCGCTTAGAACGAGTTTTGACATTGAACCATCAAGTATTTATGGGTGAATTAACCGCATTAAATAGAACTTTAGCGGAAAGTTTACAGGTAAATCAGCATAATACTAACCTGCCCTTGCGCAATGATCCTAATGATCATAATAGGCATACTGATACAGCACATATTGGAAATAATAATTCATCATTTCATAATCGCAGTGCTAATTCAGAGTTGAGCAGAAATAACTCAAATGGTAATTCCACTAGGGTAGATAAATGGAACATATTGTATGATGGCTCTCACGACATCAATGACTTTTTATTCAAAGTTGATACCTTAAAAGATCGATGGAACTGTGCTACAGACCAATTAGTTGCTAGCTTTCATACTCTTTTGAAGGGTAAGGCGGAAACGTGGTTTTGGACCTATTTACGTCAAAATCCCAATACAACTTATGATCAATTAAAGAATGCATTAATGAGGCAATATGGTAGGATTGAAAATGACTGCGACAAAATTGTACGTATTGTAGAGCGCAGACAAATGCCCAAAGAAAATTTTGATGATTATTTTACTGAAATAGTAACCATGAACTCGAAATTATCACACCCTATGAGTGATGAGAAAATAATAGAACTTATTAAAAATAATGTCTAGGAGTCCTTAGGCGCTCTTTTGTTTTCATATGATCTGTTTAGCTTAGATCATTTGCGGGACGCAGCTAGAAAAGCTGAAAAATTTCTTTATAGACAATACCAATTAAGAATGTCCAAGAAGTTTGTATCAGAGATCGAGGGCGAGAACAATGTAGAAGAAAGCGTGTGCATTGAGGGTGATGTTTCCGCAATTAGATATCATAATATTCCAGGCAAGGAAAGAAAAGAGTTAGACACTAGGCATTTCAAGTGTTGGAATTGTGACCAGATGGGTCATTCTTTTTACGATTGCACATCTGAAACTCGCAATTTATTTTGTTATCGATGCGGTGAGAAAAATGTTTCAAGCCCGAAATGTACTAAACACTCGAAAAACAAGATTTAGAACGGATAAAAGAGGGTATTCCGTTCGAAACCCAAAAGCCCTCAGAAATAAATGCAAATAATTTATATATAGATCTGGTAGGAAAATTAAAATCAGGAAATTCACACAAGAGTCCCGATAATGTAAATGTAACCCACATTTCTGAAAATCTTCATAAAATAATTGATGATAATAGTACTGAGACGTTATCCTTTCACCAGAGAAAGCTTATAAATGAAATTGAAACAAGAAAAAGTTATATTAAACTAAATATCTCGAAGAAAATTATTAAATGTAGAGACAGATTTCATAAAAGAAAGAGTTTTTCTAAATTATTAGAATCTACAATTATAGATGAGAACAGGGACAATCGACCATATGCAAAAGTTCAGTTAGGCAACATTGAAATATTTGGACTGCTTGATTCTGGTGCATCCATCTGTGTATTAGGCAAAAATTGTACTAATTTAATAGATCAATTGCATTTAAAACCTACCCAACTCTCTAGTTTTCCGTCGTTTAGCAAATTAGGATTAGGTCGTACGACATTTGAAACTCACGTAATTGATACTGGTGACTCTGTACCCTTCAAAACTAAACATTATCCATTATCCCCACCGCGCCAAATGGAGGCATATAATGAGCTGGACCGAATGCTTTCATTAGGTGTTATTGAGGAGATCAACAGTCCTTACTGTAGCCCTGTTGTCTTAGTTAGAAAACCTGGCAAAATACGGCTTTGT